TCTCAGTCCCGGTCTCTCTCTCTGTCTCTCAGTCCCGGTCTCAGTCTCGGTCTCTCAGTCCCGGTCTCAGTCTCGGTCTCTCAGTCTCGGTCTGAGACTGAGAGACAGATAAAGTTGTGAACACCGGCATAGATAGACTATAGATTATAACTGCTACTGTGTAAAGGGAATACTGCTGTTAAAAATAACCTTATTTGTTTAAAGTGTATGCAAACTAAATGTTATTGCACTTTTGTTCATATAGCAGTACTTTAAAATAAGAGTGCGCAATACACTACTTTTGAATTCATTATTGAATTCTGCACATAACAATGCGATGAATCGCAAAAAAATGATGCGATTAATCGCGATTCAAAATTGTAATCGTTGCCCAGCACTAGTTAAAACGTATTTAAACACGAATTCACAGCCACTGATTTGATTGACATTAACAGGACAATAAGGTTTCTGGGCAAAAAAAAAAAATCAAAGTCAGTAGTTAGTGGGCGTTCCTGCCCCACGTCAACCAATCATGTTCGCCGCTGCCATCAGAAATAAGACCCGTCTCAAGCTGACGTGTGGTTGCTATAGCAGCCTTTGACAACACACAGAGAGCCGGAAGATGGAGTACAGCACAGCCGCACGTCTCCACAGTACTGTGACACAGTTTAAAGTCTACGGAGATTATCTCGACTCCAAAGTCACGCCAGTGGATTTATTTTACTTGAAAGTGAGTCACATTATAAAGAACTATTGATTGTAGCCATGTTTCCCTGCTTTCTACACCAAGTAGCATTCACTAAACTCTCAGTTTAAGGTCATCTTTGTGATGACGTAACAGTAGAAGTTACAAAAAACACAACTTTCAACTTTTCAAAATCACATAGTCTCCTTCTTTAATTCGGCATCTAGCAAATCCCCCAACCTGTTAAAATAATACAGCATTGTTTGGTTCAGATATGTTGCGTTCAAGAACGCAGCAGAAGCTGCACGTTAACTGTTGATTATGGAGCAAGAAACACGATCTGACATGTTGACTTGTTGCATTCATTTGCTTTTAACTCAACTAATATGCACATTGAATGTTGTATCTTTATGATTGTTAAATTGATTGAATGGACGTGTTAGGAGGCGTCATTCTCCTGCACTTTGCTAAAAATGTAATGGAATCTGGCGTATGGTTCCTCTTTATACTCAAAATGACGCATTTAGTGGCACCTTTACCAAACCGTAAATGCAGTTAAAGTGGGCAACAGTAAGCGTTTTAACAATATATATATATATATATATATATATATATATACGTTGTTTTATTTTTTTGACAGTTGTTGTTAGCACGCATTTACTGTTGCAGCGTTAAAGCAGACGTGGGTAATTAAATGCAGGCTTTGCCATGGAGAAAAGTGTTGTTGGTGTAGTGTTCGTGGTCGCACGCTAGGTGGCAGTCACACACAGGTTTGGTATTAGGGCTTTAAACTAATGGGCTTACCACCAAATCTTATTTAAAATGTCCTTCACTCAAATTTCAAAGCAGTAGAAACAACACAAATGTTGTTAGATGTGATGTTTTGTCTTTAGTGAAGATGTAATTGGCAAAGGCCTGAGTGTAATGAATCTATCAAATGGAAATCATGTTTTTTTGTTTTACTAAAAAGAAGTTACAGCTTCATGTCAACAGAGGAGCTTTGAATCACATCTATATTCTCTGGTGTTAATCTCTTCTGCTACACAAATAGAAAACTACAAGAGGCTTGAATTTGAATATTGGGCAATCCTGCTTTTGTCCAGCAGATGGCGCGCTTGCTGACGGCATGCCCGGCTGCTGCAGTGGGCCGCTTTGTTTGAACACCTGTGTCCACACAGAGAAGGGGACGACTCATATCTGAGCTGATAATCAGCCGCAGTCAGTCACTATCAAACTGAATCACCCCCGTGTTGTGACGCTCCACATTCAGCCCAGGTCACCTCCTGCTGATAAAGGCCTGTGTTCTGATGAATGAACTGATTTTAAACTTGAGTTTGCTGTTATTCAGGACTTGTCGCACTGTGATAATGAACTCAGAACAGCTCTTTAAAGAGGTTTTACTACAATGTTTGGGGAGTGTCCAGGTTCTGGTGTGTCGACTTCAAGAAGCAACTCATTCAAACAGACTCATTCAATGAGCCCTGAAAACGAAGACAATTCTTTTCAGGCCAATTTTAGGGGCCGGCAAATGTCTGAGACTCATTTCTGGTGAGCCACATCAAAGTTGAAGGAAAATATAACTTTTCCTCTCGGGTGCGGACGCAGGCCCCGGCCGCTGGGGATTTTGGGTAGGAGGACATGTGGCCGAAGCTTTGATCTGACAAGCCGCAGGATTTGACAGCAAGATTTGGTTTTTAGATGATGACTTTATGGCTTGGCTTTAATGACGGTGGGTCTGTGAACGGCGATTGGAATATAATGTAGCTCACGGTCCCTGCAGAAGCACCACACACACTTAGAAGAGTACTGGACCTGTGCGTGGGCATGAAATCACACTAAACCCATAAAACTAAACTATATCACTTCCATATTTTTGTGAGGGAAGTGAAATAACAACTTTAAACTAAAGGCCAGAAGGTTGAGGAGATCCTAAATCTAACCGGCTGACAAAAATGAGTCAGCTGAGGCGGCCATTACGTTCCCGTACAACAAAACTGCAGTCCGAATTACTTTTCGTGGATAAAGTTTGCTTTTGACGTAATAAATATTTCAAATGAGCGCGTGGAAGTAAAAACACTCACCCAGAAGACCGCTGTTCATGTCCCGTCGAACCAAGTGCTTTGGTTGCCAAAACCTAGCAAAGTAGTTTTGTTGTGTTTTTAGTGTAGTCATTGTCAGCCGAACCAAACAAAGTAGTTTTTAAGCCTTTTTTGCTGTTGTTTTGTTTCAATTCCCAGCGTTAAACATGTTTCACGTTGTTAAAAACTACAACCGTAATCCGTGAAAAACTACGTTTCCCTAGAAATGTAATTGAGAGTGTAGTTAAGTTGTATGGAAACGTCATTTTGTAGGAGACAAGATTGATCCAGGTTGTCTCTAAAAACTGGATATGAATGCTTCACTTATAACAGCCAGTGATTCATCAGTGAGTGGATCAACAGAACAAAACTAATTGTTTTAATCAACTGTCGAGCAAACTTGTGCCAAACGCTCCCAGGTTCCAGCTTCTAAAGGTGTGGAGACGCTGCAGCTCTGTTTTACATCGTTGTAAAGTGAACATCTGAAAGGTTTCCGGGCTGTTTGGCAGACGGAACGCGCAGAAAGGACGTCACTTTGAGCTCAAGGAAATTGTTATAGACACTTTTGACTACTTTCTGACATTTAATAGTAATAAAATAAAATGGCACTCTTGTGCCAACATTTTTTAAAGATCCAACAGTCTCCAGCCCTGACTGCAGGCCGTACCCCCCCCCCCCACCCCTTATCCTCAACTGACTCCTCTTTTCTCACACAGAGCCGGGAGTTGGCCCGTAGGCTGGTGGAGCACGGCCACAACGGCACCGTCCTGAGCAGGGAGGAATTTGAGGAGACGAAAGCAGCTGAACAGGCTGCCGAGGCTGCAAAGATCGACACTCTCTACGGCAGGAGCGGGCCGACGTGAGTTCAATCCTCACCCGACCCACCGGTGGACACGTTCACACCGTGAATGTTCACACATTCTGAGTCTGAATGTGGTCGGTGGATCAATCAGTCGCTGTGGCCGGGAGACTCGCCTGGTCTCTCTGCCTCTCCTTGTTAGTGCTTTTGTGGTTCGTGTGTATTGACTTCTCATGCCATGTGAAAGAATAATATTTGAGATCTTCTGTCTTCTCCCTTGAATTAGTGTGTTGTGGTAGAAGCTGACATCAGTTTCTGTGTCGGTACTTTCCTGCTCCAGACCAGATCTTACATCTCAAGTCGGGTTTATTTTATAAAACGACGTGACAAAAAAACCAGGCCTTGACATGAATTACCCTCTTCCTTTATTTAACTTATTATAGGATTCATATTTTTCCTCTACTGTCGAGGTGTTTTGTGAGATTTCAAATTTGCAAGATGTCAAAAAAAATGCAGAGTTGCACAATAATGAGGAAACGCCGCTCTTCTTCTGGTGGATTTTGTTGAGCAGAACTATGTACAGGAAATAATGCTGCCTATGTTGGGACTGAAAGGCGTGTGAGTGGGTGTGGCCGTGTTGTTTCAAGAACTATAATATTAACCTAGTCTGACGATTGTTGGTCAAACAGTAGAAGTATGTAGGGCATCTCCTAAAGTTAGATTTGCTCCTTTTTTTCCCCTGGCAATCTGATCCCGGACTCAAAACCCTGATACGAACTTCCTCACATATGAGAAGATTAACTAAGTGGTTAATTGACTAATTGTTAGATAACCACAGTTTTGCTTTGAGTGTCGCTAGATGTTTAATATCTAAAATAGGGTTCACAACATCTTCTTCTTCCGGCCCTGTGTTTTTCTGAGACAGGCTCTCGGTCTCCCTGCAGCGAGCGGCAGCACATAGAGAAACATGTAAAACTCTTTTTTGCCGGCTGAAGCTCTGCTCTGCTAATCAAGGCATGACAGGCCATAAAGTCTGAATCTTTTATAGCTGCATCCGGTGCGGTAGCGGTCTGAGCAGCTTGTATAATCCTTTTATGATTGCGTTTTTACAAAAGACAGAATAAATGGGAGGTAATTCATCAAAGTCCATGTCCTACACGAAAACAAGGGCTTTTTTCTTTCCCCCCCCCCCCTCCGTCTGTCTGAATTCAAATCAAAATGCTTCACATAAACAAGCTGAATGACAAAAGTACAAACTGGAGTCCTGTATAAACTGCCCCTCCTGAGGGAAGAATGATCACACAGATATTGTTCTTTCTTGATAAAGCCATGTGGTTGTGGTTTTCCCCCTTTGATGACAAGCCAGAACAGACTCCAAATAAGACCATTCAACACACACACACACACACACACACACACACACACACACACACACACAGGGTGGCGGAGGTATCCAAACATTTACCTGCTAGGTGTTGAATCTGATTGAACCCTCAGATGCTTATCCAAACTTAAGCAGATGTCTCGCCGCTTGCCCCCCCCCCTCCCTCGTCCAAACGTCTGTGAACATCAGTGACACTGGTGAAATGGGAGCCTCCACACCTGCAGTTGCAGTGATATTAGGGCCACAAAGCCTTTTATCTTGTCCCAACAGGATCTAGGGAAATGTTGTACGGGAACACCGGGATGTTATTTATACACAGTAGTCTGTTCCGTCTCCCGACATCTACATCCATGGAGGGACATTTTCCAAGGCTGTCAGTAAGGGTCCTAACTGTGTCCTCAATACAGGATCAGAGACTTCAGAAACATCCAGTCAGATTGATTTTAAAGGAATAATCCACTGAAAATCTTATCTATTCAGTATGAAATGCTTACTGTCATTTTGGATTCACAAACAGTTACAGTTACCAGAGTCACATCAGATTAAAGCATCTTAAACATTTTAAAGGAGCTGTATTTAACATTCTGGACATTAATATTGCAGCAAACACATATTATCTATGTAAAGATATAGTGGAGTAATGTCTAGCTGAGCTAGGAATGAAGCCGCTCGCCCTCTCTGTGTGTTGTTATCAGAGCTTCTTTTGTTGACATAGCCGCGCCGGCCATGCGTGATTTTAGTGCATGTTGGTGCACGTGTGCATGCCCCACTGGTTGGCCTCACGGCCGCCGGTGTGTTGTTGTGGAAGCGTAGCGGCAACCTACCGGTTCACCCTCAAGTAAACTCTGTTAGCTCTGTTAGCATCATTAGCTCTGAGCCTTTCGGCTCGCTGTCGAACCGCTGAGAGGCAAATCAAAATGCTCCCAGTCTTGGATCTTACACCTTTAGATTACTGTATTTGTCTTGTATTACTGCTTTGACAACACAAAACCAATGTAACTTTGTCTTAAGCAGGCATATGTTTAATTAGTGTCAACACCACAAGTATAATAAGGGAGCAGAGCCGTTTACATTTGGCCTTCTTATATCGAATTTGACAGAAACCATGTATCAAAAGACATTTCCATGAAACAATGAGAGTAGAAGTTTTGTGCCAGGTTTAAAACATGTCCCATCTGCCCAGGTGACAAATAAAATAGGAGTAGAACGGACGTTCCCATTCAAAATGACGTGGCAGGATGGCCAGAGCGGTGGCCATTTTTATGTGTACCGCCATTGAGACCATTGTAGTTGGCTAACTACCGTATAAACTAAACCGACTTGTGGCAAGTCACGGACTGAGGTGATGCAGTAACAAATAAATCAAGCAGGGGAGTTCGTTATCAATGTTGCAAAACAGAATTTAGCCTCATACAACGTTTTGTTATCTTATGAAAAGTTACTTCTCATTTTTCGCATGTGGCCGCTGCTATTGATAAGGACAAGCCACCTAGCTAACCAGCCAGGCATCCGTCTCCGGAGCTGCGTCTGATCTCTTCCCAGCTAGCTAAAGTCCCACTAGCGTGCGTTGTGACCATAGCAACTAACAACAATCGCCATTTTCTTTTGCAATCGTCAAATGACCACAGAAGACATTTCAATATCCGATCTACTGCTATGGCCAACAAACTGTAGGGAACTAAAATAAATATGTAATTAACAGCTTTCCCACACTTTGAAATGTGACATCCTGTCAAAAGACTTTGACAAGACAGGGAAAAAACAGCATTTGCAGACATTTTCCATCATAAAGTTTCAACTGTGCCCCCCCCCCTGTCTAAATGCAGATTGCTCTTTCCTCTGTGGTTTTGTTTTTTTGATTGGACTTCCACACAAGGTGACCCCCTGACCTCCTGCTATGGTCACATTGTGAAAAACACGAGTCCCAGGATGCAACGTACCACCTGCAAAGTGGCCGAGCACAATCGGTACAGTGTTCTGAAAAAAACAGTGTGGCCACAGAAACTGGCAGCTGTGCGGTAAACAAACTCAATGTAGTTGTTGTTTCGGCTAGGAAAGATGAAAATAAAGTCATGCACTTGGATTTGCATTGATTTAAGACCTTTGCACCTGCATACTAATCCTCTCATGGCACTGGGCAGCCACGCTGTTTTGGGAATGCATTTTGCCTTCCCTGTAGGCCTTAACCTACGTCTCCCAAAGGCATGTCTTTTTTCACCGCTCTGTCAATGCTCTGTGTCCCCCCCCCCCCCCACCCCCTTCCTTTCTCTTTTCAACCTCCCTGTGCTCTCTTGGAGACCTTTAGTGCCTGCAGGTGTATAAATAGAGCTGTTTTCAATTAAGGGCTAACCTCGCCTGTAGCGTGCATCTGATCAATGAATGCCCCTGCACCTGTGGTAATAAAATACCAAGGGAGTGGAGATAGTGCCGTGAATGCTAATCAGACGTTGCCCTGTTGTTGCCCTGTCTCATTCTTAAGGACAACACGCTCCTCCTGACAGCTTGGCTGTGAAAGAGGGTAAAGGGGTGGAGGGGAGGGGGGTGCTTTGCTAGCACATCACAAAAAAGACCAAACAAAAGACCTGGTGCTCTCATCAGACATAAGTGAAATACAATACTTGAATGAATGGGATGCTTAGTCAGTTGTGCGGTTGTTTGGTCAGGGGGAAGCTGAACGGGTAGTCAGGATCAACAAATAGGAATAGAACAGGCTTGGGTTGTGACGGGAGCCTTCAATTTTGGTAAAATACCTGGATTTGTTAAGTTGTGTCTGATCCGATCATTTATCTTCTCTGTTTTTGGCAAAAAGTGAGTTATATAACATTTTAATAAATAATAAAGTATTTGTCAATCTTTATAAAGTAGCAAAACTGGTTAGTAAAGGTTTAACAATGATGTAATAGGTAAGTAAGTGTGTTTGTAAAGCTATTATAAACAATTATAAGAAACTCATTAGGCTTTTATTAACGTTTGTTAAGCATTCATAATGTCAAATAACCTACAATAAACATGTTTATAATGCTATTTTAACACTTGTATATTCTTATTTACTTATGTTAATATGCATATAATAAGGCCTTATGAGGGCCTTATTACCTATTAATTAACCCTTATTACAAGGACCTTAATATACAAATGTTAAAAGCTGGACCTTTATTGATCTGTTAAGGGCCTGAACTGATTTGCATCTGACTACTGGATTCAGATTTGATCAAATGCCATCAAACACAAACCTTGCACACACAAAAAAAGGGTTTTGTGTTTATTCTTGTGTTCCAGAAGTGAGAGAAATTCAGGACATCAGGATTTTGTTGTTAGCAGAACATACATATATTCCAAACCACAGTTCTCAAACAAAAGACATCCATATTAGACGTCCTGATAGCATTGTGTTTCAATCTCGTGCAAGAATAACATTTGATATAAAGTCGGAGACAAACAAGAGGAGCACTGCTGAGTAGACGTGAGGCCTCCGTTTCCTCTCTGCTCCGGCTCTGGCTCGGGCCCAGAAGTCCGTGTCAGCATATGTCCTGACCTCGCGTGCTCACGGCAGCCCTGCGAGGTTTCCATCAGGCTCCCCGCGATCTCCCCACAGTCCAAACCACAGCCACGCTCATTGTCCATTGTGCTGCTGCGTGTTTTTTTTTTTATACAGTCCACCTCAAGAATTCTCCGC